TATATATATATATATATATATATATGTATTTTTTTTTTTCAGTGAGGTGGTACCAGGGATTGAACTCAGAGCCACTCAGCACATCCCCAGCCCTATTTTGTATTTTATTTAGAGACAGGGTCTCATTGAGTTGCTTTGCGCCTCGCTCTTGCTGAAGTTGCCTTTGAACTCTCCATCCTCCTGTCTCAGCTGTTGGGATTATAGGTGCCACCACACCGGGCTGTTTACTATATATATATTTACTGTTTTTGATTTTTGTGGCTTTGGCGTTTTTCTTTTTTTAATTCTAACATAAGTAAAAATGTCAATTTTCTCACTCTTCTCCTTTAATATTCAAATACTCAGAAGCTGTACTGACATATATGTTGCCACAGAAGCCCTCAAATTTGCTCATTTGAGAAACAGTCATGACAATGGGCACTGGTATTTCTAAAGTCTTGGGAGGTAATAGGATGAAGACAGTTCATCTTGGTTTATTACTTTTCAGAATATTATCTGTATGGGTATAAATGCACATAATACACTTGGTTCTTAATTCTGTAAGTTAATGAGAAATCAAAGTCACTTTGGTTCCTAGCTCTCTCTTGAGGATCTTGGCACTGTCAGGAAGGGAATAACTGTTACACAGGATAAACCAGCTCTGCTGCCAAGCTGCAAGTAACAGAACACTTGCCACCTATGCCCCAGGATGGCTGTGGGAAATGAGTCAGTCAGATATGGGCTCACTGCAAATTACTAAAAATAAAGATAAAAGTATGAGTCCTGCCATAGGAGTAATCAAGAAACTTCACAAATCCTATCTGGGTTTAAATACAGAGATGGAAATGAGCCCTGCTAAATGGCCCTGGGGGGGTCTGTAATTACTAAGRGAACCAAAGACTGAGGGCCAGCTCTGGCTTGTGTACCAATGTGAGCTATCTGCTTAAATATTTTTCACTAAAATCCAAATTCATACTTCATTTAATCAACAATGGAAAAAGCAGGACACAGGATCTTCTAATTTTATTAGCAACTACCAAGCTATGAAATACAAATCAATAACATTAAAGAAAGTTGCTTGAAACARGTTATGTACAGCTGTGCTACACAGAAGCAAAAATCCTATTTTTAATCTCAAAGCCAACCCTGTGTGGAAGGATGACCTTAGGGGACAAAGGAGCACATAAGTTACAATAAACAAGTCTGATCCACCCAGAAAAGCAGTGAAATATAGTCACATGGGCACTAAAAATTTGAGATCAGTTTTTAAAGATTCCCTTAATCATAAAGTTTTCAAATGAAAACAGGTTCCCCTCTTCTCCTGTAGGCCTTCCAGCTCACTACCCAAGAGACTTGAGTATTTCTATTAAGGCAGCTGGAAGCCCACCCTAGGCTTGAACAGCAACTTCTGCCCAATATGTGACCTGTCCTCCCTCTGCTATTAACATGCTATGGGCAAAAACAAAATTCTACAGTGCTGTTCTCTGGTAAAAAGGGGGAAACAGCACTCAAAATAAAGTAAAAGGCCACAGAGGGCTCCCTGAGAATCCAGTAGAACTAAGAGAGGCCTTCAACTTTTTTGAAATCCACTTTGCAACTGGATCCAGGTGGAACAGTGCCCTGCAGCAAGGAGTAGTGTACATGCCAAGGAGAGAGCCCAGCTTCCAAGAACCATTACCATGGCTTCCTGAGCCACTTTCTCTCTCTCCTACTTATATGAGAGTGAGAAAACACACAGTGGCTTTGATTCTCAGCACAATCCCTCTGTACAGAGGGAGGTGTTTCCAAGTCTGGAACCACAACTGACGGCTGAGACACTTCATGAGGAACTCTCCTCCACAGTCCAGCCATCTCCAGTGGCTCTCCTCACAATGCTTCATCTTCTCATTCTCCTGGGGAAGGACTGTGGGAGAAAACCTGGGATCCCTCTGTCAGGAAACAGGCACAACTGCCAGGAGCCAGTGTGCTGGCCTCAGTCTCCAGTTGTTAGTGTCTTAGTCTCAATAGAGAACTGGAAAGCAACAATTTGGTAGAGCAGGAAGAGAGCCCCAAGGAAGAGTGTCACGCTCAGTGATGGTTAATAGATGAAACGGAATTTCATGGAGATTCTTTGTTACAAGGAGAAACTGCTCAGTCTCAATTTCCAGAACATGGAGGTTGCCTGATTTAAGAGACCTATGTCTTCTTTTTTAGTTCTTCAAATCTCCGGGAAAGATCATCAAAGTCAATGTCTTCAGAAGCTGAGTTGCTGGCACCAGCAGATGAAGTTGGCAGTGTGTCTGGCACAGATGGTAACTCTGGCAGTACAAAGTTGTCATAGTTATCCATAGGTCTAGAAGGGGGCTTTGCAGAGGCTTCCTGCTTGGGTCCAGGTCCTAATTAAATCAAGGTAAGGAATACAATGTTACAAACACAAGAGCAACAGCTCAGATTCCCTTTAACAGAGGAAAAATAWGATCAAAACACAGAAGAAAACATTAGTTTAAAAAAAGTAACATTTAATTCTAAAAGTCAATAAAAATCCTCATAATTAACATTTACATTTTCTAATTATAGTTGAATTCTACCTGTTTTACTTTCCTTTAGTGAGAAAAACATTTAAGGGAAGTCAAAATTTGGTACATGAGGCCAGGTCCACTGATCATTCATCTAATAGATTCCCTTTTCACAAAGCTCAGCTGCTATGACAAGCCCAAAGACTAGTATTAGTAGTATTGAACYGACTTCTGCTTCTGTAAGAACTACTTAAAATTTAGGAAGAAAAAAATTTTATAAGGAATGTTAACACCCATATTATTTCATATAAGAGTGTATTCTGTATTTTTTTTAATATTTATTTTTTAGGTGTAGATGGACATGAMACAATGCCTTTATTTTTATGTGGTGCTGAGGATTGAACCCGGGTCCTGCCYGYGCTAKGTGAGCGCTCTAACGCTGAGCCATAATCCCAGCCCATGTATTCTGTATTTCTATTCTTCCACTTGTATACTATATTAAAATCACCCCCTTATCTGCCTACTGTATGATTGAATTTATATCTTAAGTTGTAGAACAGGCAAAACATATCATAGTACCTCAGGAGCATGATTTTCTTTGGGAGGATGGATGGAGTTAATTGGAAAGGAAMGTAAGGACTTACAAGAGGGGTGATGGAAACACTTTCTACTTTAATTGGGGTGGTRGATGTTACACACAAAAATATCAGACAACAAAGTCTATGTTTTCTAGTATAAGTTATACCTCAATATAATAAACATCTCTAAAACTATTCCAGGTTTCTGGTGACTTCTGCCCTTCTCTCTGCCCCCATATGGATTGAACACATGCTAGGCAAGCTYTCTAATACAGAGCCCTTCATTTTCAGATAGGTCTTGCTAAATTACAGGCATGTGCCACCTCACCCAACTATATATTTTTTTGAGTACATAGTTAAAAAAACATGCCTGCTTAGTGAAAATTCACAGAGCTATACCTTGTGACTTGTGCCTGTTTTGCCCTCTCTAATGTCTCTTCAATACCACACTTAAAAAAAMAATACATCCAAGAACTGGATGGAAACTGAAGTAATAATAACATAATAAAGAGTATACAACCAGAGATATGAAAAATTGAGCTCTATATGTGTAATAAGAATTTTAATGCATTCCACTATCATATATAAATTTTAAAAATAACATAATAAAGAATTTGAGGTTAAATGAAAACTAGAAGACAAAAAATTAGAATAAGTGGAAAGAATAATGATACCATTGACAGAAATAGGAGATTCTTTGGGACTGGGGAAAATCTTCATGYCAACAGTCTCTGAGGGAGGAAGAATGAACAAACAGCATAGGGGTTAACACTGAGCCTTTGAAGATTCTAATTCATACTCACCAATTATCTGTGCAGAAGAAACATTCTTATCAGCATTAATGTCATCAACCTGCAACACAAAGACTGTTACCACAGGCAGAGGAGCTACGGAACCCTGAAGAAAGTACCAATACTGGTTCCAGCCCGAGTTTTCCAAAAGCTCAGCTGCTTACCAAAAGCAACAGAACCTGCTCCAAAGAAATTGCCCCTCTACTTCCTACACTTTTCCAATCAGGTATACACCATGCTAAACTCTGAATTCCCAAGACAAAAAAGAAAATTCTTACCATATCATGACCTCTTTTTTTCACTTTCTAGCACAAAATCCCCAAATATACCGATAAGAACAAAGTCCTCAAATAATGATGATCTTCTACCTCATTCTTAGAAATAACTGTAATCCATGCTTCAACACATGCAAGACTGAAGCATGAGAAAAACTAAGACCCAAGGTAGAACATGCCAGCTAGAGATAAAAACCAATGGAAAGAACGTGCAAGCTCAGGAACACAGAGCACCTCTAGATGAATAATTCACATAGCAAATGCCATTCCAATTTGTCTTCTCAGTGAAGTATCAGACAGACACAAGTCTCAAATGGTATATACTAAGAAAATGAAACTAATTCTGAAGCAAAGCTGTTACAACCTGCAGTTCTAGGCATCATAACCACATTAGCTATTTATTCAAGTTTTAACTATGAAACTAAAATGTGAAATCAATGCTATAATCTGATTAAAAAAAAATCCTAGTCGGGCTGGGATTGTGGCTCAGTGGTAGAGTGCTTGCCTGGCATGTGAGGCACTGGATTTGATCCTCAGCACCACATAAAAAAGAAATAAACAAACAAATAAATAAATAAAGGTAAAAAAAAAAATTCTAGTTGCCAGGCATATGCCTATAATCCCAGTGGCTTAGGAGGCTGAAGCAGGAGGATCGTGGGTTCAAAGCCAGCTTCAGCAATTTAGTGAGGCCCTAACAACTCAGTAAGACCCTGTCTCCAAATAAAATACAAAAAAGGGATAGGGATATGGCTCAATAGCTAATCACCTCTGGGTTCAATCCCTGGTACCCGCTACTCCTGGCAAAAAAATCCTGGTTGTTATTTCTTTACACGAATGCTGAGAACAAATTCCTTGGTGTTAGATTATTATAATACTAATCTAACACCAAGACTACAACAGATTGATATGATTCTCTGACTAGGGCACTACAACTTCCTAAGAGAACTGTAGCTCCTTCCCGATTCCTGGCTTCCACCAACAAAGCATTCCCACCAATAATGCCACCACCACTGCTCCCCATCTCCAAGATAGTTTTAAAGCAACATGAATTCTAAAGCAGGAGCAATGCCAATATAGGAGAGTTGATCAAAACTTTGCCTTCCCTGTGGTCATTACTTTGTTCTCTCCATGCGATTCACTCTCCTGTTGCTTATAAAAGAGGCTCAGGCACTTACAGATTCATATGATGGGGGAGTTGCTGGTATCTGAGGTGGATTAATATTGGGAAAGGCCTGATAAGTCCCCACTGGCAAGCCATTGAAATCCGACTGCAAGAGGAGAAAGGCAACATCAGAGACAATGCCCTCAATTTTGGTAATTTTTGTGGTTTGTGTATGAGAAGGACAGAATACATATACATGTATGTATGTGTATACATATACATGTGTTTATGGATGCACTCAAATTTAATAAAAATATATAAGATCCCCTTCCTGAGAAAATGCTCTAAAAGACCACATGTGGTCAGAAAGATTCCAGCTTGCCAGGCATGGTGGCACACACCTATAATCCCAGCAGCCTGGGAGGCTGAGGCAGAAGAAACACGAGTTCAAAGCCAGCCTCAGCAAAAGCAAGGGGCTAAGCAACTCAGTGAGATCCTATCTCTTAAATATAAAATAGGGCTGGAGATGTGGCTCAGTGGTCCAGTGCCCCTGAGTTCAATCCCCAATACCCCCGTCCCTGCAAAAACAGAAAGACTCAAGCTTTTTGCTATTCTTCAAATAACTAAATCAAATGTTTCAATGTCTGTCTACAAGGGAAAATTATAATTAGACTTCACTATTAATTACCTAATATCTTGTCTACAACTGGAGGTTTTCTGCCTGGTAATAGTTGTTATTCGTTTTTGGAAAAAGCTATTAGCACAACTGCAACTGGTCCTAAAGATACRCAATAAGCCAACATGAAAAACATTTTTAAGCACTACATCTCTAGATTTTTTCACTTTGTTACCTATAGCCAAACCAAGACTTTCTCAGAATCCCAATATTGTTTCCACATTGAGACCATTAAGCCAATACCAAATGTTCTAAGTGCTAAATGCTACTGACAACCAACAATTCTTGAGTGTATTTATAGATCTCATTTGTCATAAAGTTTATATCCACACTTTACAAGCATACTCACTGGTCCCTTAGGCAGTGGATATGAGAAGGGAGTATTTGGAGATGGCATGGGCATAGGCATAGGCATGGGCATTGGCACTGTTCCATCAGTTCCACCAACAGGTGCTGTGAACCCACCACCACCTCCTCCTCTTCCAGGGCCACCTTTCTTCACATCATCTGTGAATCCAACATCAATGAGATCTGTTTCTACTCCAGGAGGAGCTTCTGCCTAAGAAAAAGAAACCCATATTATTTCCAAGGGTAGTTTTACCAGCTAAYTGACATGTAGATCAGCATGAAGGAAGCTTACTGCAGGGTGCTCTTGGGGTCAGAGCACCTACATGGAAAACAAAGGCCTTAGCCAACTCCCAAGGGAGCTCTGAAGCTGAGAGGAACCTGCAAAGGTATGTCCATGAATGGAGGAATAAGCCCCTGGACTAATCAGTTATTGCATACAGGCTGCCCCCAGGAAAGACTCTGGGTAAGACTACTCTTTCCAGGGGAGGGCCATCTCTAAAGGGACACCTGGTGTGAGAGCTACCACTCATCAATACTCTTGAAAGGTGGGGAAATAAAGACTTCTATTGTATGTGGGAAGATGGAGATGGCCACCAAAGGTGGCAATCTAAATGATTATTTTCAATGAAAAATAATGTATTTTAAGTGAAAAAAACCAGAAAGAGACATTTTGCCAACAGATTGGTGAGGGGGAACTGGGTCACATTATCAGTGTGGAGGGAACACAGCGCCTACACCTACCTACAGACCTGAGCCCACCACTGAGGTTGGCCCAGCTGAATGATTATTTGCATGTTTACCCTCCTACACTGTAAGCCTTTCAGGACAAAGAACTTGTTTTTATACATCTTTGTATTCTCGGCTTTCTGTGTACTATCTGACACATTCAGGTCTTGGGTATTTCTTGCTGTCTCCAGCAGGAGTTCTCAATTCCTTCAAGTTCACTAAAAAGCCATTTTACATTTGTATCAAAGTTCCTACTTTTTCAAAGAGCTTTCAATGTCAGTCATCTAATCTGATCCTTGGGAGCTATGTAGACATGCTATTAGGCCAAATGGCATCTAACAAAACAAAGGCTTAAACTCACACTAACTCAAGTTAATGCAAAGAACATATATATATATATATWHCCCCCCCCCCCCCCGAAGTCATATCTACAGACTCATTTTCACTGCAGTCTGGKATAAACTTACCATGACCACAGAGTCAGGTTCATAGGGTACATTGTAATTCTTGGCAATTTCAATAAGGTATCTCTCCACCAGGATTTTGGGTGGGGCTTCCACACTCAGTTTGTGCATCAGCTGTAAGTAGAAGACCTAGGGTTAAAAAGCATCTATATCAAACCAGCCTAATCCTAATCTGTCACACTTAATTTCTCTCATTTTGTGGGTAATATTGAAAAAGAACCAATAAGTGATTTTTCCCCCCCAGAACCACCAGGCACACTACAGGACCCATGTCTTTCAATTTTTTGTTTATATACTAACCAAACACTGAAAAGTCTAACACTACTGCCTTCTACATTTCAACTCCTCCACCCTTCTCCCCATCTCGCTCCCTACCTTCACAACTTACAAGAGGCACAAGAATGGGGAAGAGAAGGGYAGATCAGGATCAACAGAGAGCATCATAATCAGGTGCTGGGCAGGAGGTCTAYAGGTGTAGGCGCTGTGTTCCCTCAACACTGCCAGCCATATAGGCTTACTTCTCATACTCAGTATGAAATGTGCAGCCTCTACTAACTCAGCCATGCCGTGGAACTACAAGAGTTACTACAGGCAATAAGATAACTTGTTCCCACCACATACACACTGTTTCACATTTACCAAATATGTTCATTACCCTGTCATTCACAGTTCCAATCTGGTTGGTCCTACATAACTTGCCATATTCCTTGCTATATTTGGCACAGAGCTGATCAGCAACCTACAGAGGAAAAAGATGATTAAATAAAACCCCAAATCACTTCTATAAACTACTTCAAGCTTCCCTCTATCAACAGTAAACATGCTTCTAAACAAGATTTCCAAAAAACTGAGGTCTGTAATGGCTTAATGAGTACACACAAATTAGTTTATCCATCTATCCATCCATCCATCTATCCATCCATCCAATGAGCAGCAACCAAGTGCTAATACTATTATGATATGCACTATAAATACAGTCACAAACAAGGACAGATACTGTTCATACTTTTTATAGTCTTACAGTTAATAAAATAATTACACAAAGGTACAGCTGCAGCTGTGGAAGTGCTACTGAGGGAAAGTACACTATGCTATCACCACATTCTAACAGGAGATTCAGATTCAATCAGAAAAGTCAGGTGAGGCTGCACAAAGACAGGATGTTTTACCAAGATTTAAAACCCAGAGTTAAGAAAGGAAGAAAGAGTAGTTTAGGAAATGAAAAAWGCATGTGCAGAAGAATCCTCCTATTGATAAAACATGGCTAATACTCAAGACTGAAATAAAGCCAGTGAGCTTTTCCTGCTAAGCCCAAGTACAAGTAAGATAAGAAATGAAGTGAGAGGGTTGGGGTTGTGGCTCAGTAGCAGAGCACTTGCCCAGCATATGTGAGGCACTGGGTTCTATTCTCAGCACTACATATAAATAAATACAATGAAAAGATCTGTTGACAACTAAAATATATATGTATATATAAAAAAAGAAATCAAGTGAGAAAGATGGGATTGTCTGGAATGCAGAGTCATATAAGTCAAAATTATGCAGTTTTGGGCTGAKGTTGTAGCTCAGTGGCAGAGCGCTTGCCTAGCACATATGAGGCACTGCRTTTGATCCTCAGCACAACATAAAAATAAAAATAAGTACAATGAAGTTATTTTTTAAAATGCAGTTTTGTTTCTATCACAGACATAACAGGAAGCTTTAAAGCTCTCATGCAGCTTTTAAACAAAACACTTAGGTTGTTCAGATTGAATGGTGAATTGACTTAAAAAAAGTTAAAGTAGGTATATGAAAAATATGTAAAAAACATGCCAGGCATGGTGGTGCATCCTGTAACACCAGCTACTCTAGAGGCAGAAGCAAGATCCTTAAATTCAAGGCCAGCATGGGCAACTTTCCAAAAAGAAAAGTAGGGCAGTGGGAGGTGGGGGCAAGCTGGGCATGTAACTATCTAGCATGTAGTAAAGGGTTCAATCCTCATTACAGAAAAAATAAATATCCTCCAGCCAGGGACAGTGGGCACACCTGTAATCCAAGGAATTTGAGAGACTGAGGCAGAGAGATTGCTAAATTTCCTCAGCAATTTAGCAGAACCTGTCTCAAAATAAAATTAAAGGAAACAATAAAGGGCTGGGGATGTAGGTCAGAGGTAGAATGCTCCTGGGTTCAATCCCCAGTACCACCCATCCCCCCTCAAAAAACCCTTAACTAAAAAGAGTAAATTTAAAAATATAATCAATATCCTTAGGCCAGGCATGGTGGCACACACCTTTTGTCTAGCAACTCGAGATCTAAAGCAGGCCGGGCACAGTGACGCATGCCTGTAATCCCAGCAGCTAGGGAGGCTGAGGCAAGAGGATCACAAGTTCAAAGCCAGCCTCAGCAAATAAACAAGGCACTAAGCAACTCAGTGAGACCCTGTCTCTAAATACAAAATAAGGCTGGGGAATGTGGTTCAGTGGTTAAGTGTCCCTGAGTTTGATCTTCAGTACCAAAAAAAAACCACAGAAGAACTAAAGGAGGAGGATCACAATATGAGGCCTGTCTCTATAACTTAGACCCTGTCTCAAAAAATAAAAAAGGGATGGGGGTGGTAGAGGGCCCCTGGGTTCAATCCCCAGTACTAACGGAGGGGGAGGGGTACAGAATATATGTATTTTTAAATTTATCCTTAAAGAGTTAGAAGACATTGTAGCCATGAAACAAAACAAAGAAGATTACAGAAATATTCTGAGAATTAAAAATAAAATAAAAGTGTATAGAAAAATAAAAACAGACAGAGTGATCTTAACATATAGGTTGGGTGATAAGATTGAGATAATATCCTAGGAAATAAAACAAAAAGGCAAAAGTGCAGAGAAACAGAAAACAACTCAATTAAATTTGTACCTAGCAATGAGTAGTTTTCCACATTTTGATAACAATTTTTTGRTTAATATCTGTCTCTTCCACTAGACTCTAAGCTACAAGAGTATAGCTGGTGGGCTGGGAACATAGCTCAGTGGTAGAGTGCTTGYCCAGCATAAGACAGAGACCCTGGGTTTAATCCCCAGCAACACATAAATACATGCGCGCACGCACACGTATGACTATTGTCATATTTTGTTCACCACATTATTCCCAGTGCTCATCTAGCTCATAATATCTGTGAACTTATGTCAATTTTATTTTAACTTTACTGGTTTATAGGCATATAAGAACTTTTCTGGAGGTTGGGGGTGTAGTGCAGTGATAAAGCACTGGCATGCCCGAAGCCCTGGGTTCAATCCCCAGCACAAAAAAAGAAAACACACACAAACTTTGTTCTATTTGTATAAGATTAAACGACATTATAACAAAAATAAGACAAAACTGGAGGTATATAGAATTTTGCTCCTAAAAAAATTACTCAAGGGGCTGGGGTTGTGGCTCAGTAGTAGAGTGCTCGCCTAGCACGTATGAGACGCTGGGTTCAATCCTCAGCACCACATAAAGATAAATAAATAAAATAAAGATATTATGTCCAACTACAACTAAAATATATATTTTAAAAATTACTCAAATTTACAAGACAATGTTCTACCCTATGACATAGGCCTGAAAAAGAGGACAAATTTACAAAGCCTGTTTCAAAAGCAGCAAGGGTAAAAAAAAATGCCTGGTCAAATAAGCAAGAGTGCCTTAAGTGACTTCTGTTAACCAACCTTTCTCTCTCCCTTTTTTGTAATACTGGGGATTAAACCCAGGACCTTGCACATTACGAGGCATGTATTCTACCATTGATCTACACCCCTGGCTCTTCTTTCTTTCTCTTTTTTCAAAAATTTAAGACAGGGTCTTGCTAAGTTGCCCAGGCTGGCCTCAAACTTACAATTCTCYTGCCTCAGACCCCTGAGTAGCTGGRATTACTGGCATGCTAACCAAAATTTCTAACAATATGAAAAACTACAGAAAACACAAACTGGTTGTACTCACAATTTTCAACTCAGCCACTTCTGACTGGAGTCGAGGAGCAGCCCAGATCAGTGTAGACACAGATTCGGCCAGACCAGAATCTAGCTCCCTAATCAAGAACAAAATTAATATGACTTAGTGTTTTTTAAGAGCAACAAAATCTTAGCCTTTATATGATACATCTGTTAAGTCTCCAAGGCTATTTCATGAATCTCACTGAATTATCATAATAATAACTTGATTTCTGGCCATTTCATTACTTGTTTTACTTTTGGGGATACTCTTAAGCAATGTCACAAAGTCAGGAAATGGCTGAGCCAAAACTCAAACCTCTCASTTTCAGAATCTTTATTTTACAAGTTACCTAAATTGAAATCACACTTCAAGTGAATGATAGTATAGGAAAAAGATCCTTGGAAAATAAAATAGCCCACAAGCACCAGCCCATTCAATGTACATGTAGAAAGAGATCATTATTACTTCATTCTTAAATTCTAGAGTTGATTTAGTCTTTGAATGGAAGAATCTTACTTCATAGACTGGATGAGGCCAAACCGAGCCAGCAGCAGGTCACAGTACAGCTCCAGGATCTCCATGGCCTCTACGAGGTAGTCTTCCCGAATAATGTGTTCCACACGAATACGAGCTCTCTCATCTTTCCCAGCAGCCAGATAGTCAGCAATCTCCTTCCTTGCTTTCTGGGCCAGTTCCGCTAAGGCACAAATCCCACTGCAGTCACACAACAGTAGTGCACTGGGAACTGGGCTGTAAGCAGACTTTTACCCCAACAGAGAGAACTGGGTGTTTCTACTACATCCTAGTTCACACTCCCTTAGCAAATCTAATCCTACCTCATCTACTTCTACCTTAACTCCTCTTGAATTGCTACTGTGTACATAAGAATACAGCACAGCCTGATATTTCCAACTCAGGAGTCATGTTACCCATTCCATTCCCAGAGAGTACAGCTGTCCCTCAGTATCCTAGGGGAACTGATTTCAAGACACCACATGGATACCAAAATCTAAGGATGCTCAAGTTCATTATATAAAATGGTATAATATTTGCATATAACCAGCCTATACACATTCTCCTATAAATTTTAAATTATCTGTAGATTATTTATAATCCCTAATACAATGTAAATGCTATGTTAATAGTGGCTATAATGTATTGTTTAGGGAATAATGACAGGAAAAAAGGTCTATACATGTTTGATACAGATATAATTTTTTCCTCTGAAAAATTCTGATCTGTACTTGGTTGAATCCAGATGTAGGATCCACAGCAATGGAAACCATGAACATGAAGGGTCAACTGTACATCCCTCCCCTGCAACAAAGTGATTCAGTCTAACTAGTCACAAAAAGCAGAGATACAGCTAAAGCTTAAAAGATGAGACACCTGAGATTTCACAGTACTGGCCTGAAAGATCCAGTACGAGGTGCTGACACCTGGAGATGTATTTTGGGAAAGTAAAATAAGGCAATCATTCACTACTTACTTTTTTTTTTCTCCAATAGTTTAAGACGATTTATGACTAATCTCAAATTGACTCGTAAACGCTCAGCTTTAAATCCGGAGCCCAGCATACTGTACTGTTCCTCCTGTAAAAAGAAGCATAGCAGTGACTATTTTGAGTCAAAATTAGTTCTGGAACTAACTCTACTGAAGGGGAATATCTGACACACTAAACTAGAGAGTTTCTTTTTCCTTTTGGTTTTACAGATTAAACCCAGGGCTTCACATGTGCCAAGCATATGCTTTACCACTGAACTACATCTTGAGCCCCCAGGGTGTTTTTCTAATACAGGAAATGACATAATCAAAATGATTTTTTTTTTATACATTACTTTGGCTGTTATATAGAAAACTGATTAAAAGAGGATAATATTGAGCACAGGGGTATCATGAAAAGGCTAATACGATAGTCCAGCAAGAGATAATATAGCTTAGAACCAAGCAGTTAGCAGTGGTAGTAACAGAAGTAATTGGATTTGAAATCTATTTTAAGGGCAGAGCTGAAAAAACCAGGTGACAGATATTAAAAATGAGTATCAAGCAGGAAGGCCCCCAGCTTCTCCCCAAAATACTAGCACCTTTGATGATCAGCAAAGATCATCMAAGTTAGACCCAAATTCAAAGATATTCTCTTCCTAATTCCTCAAATCCTATTAAATCTCAGCCTTTAGGGGAAAGCTGTGCCCAACACTAACATATAGTTATACAAAGGGGTGAAAAAATGTGTACTTCGAAATTTCACAATAGGGCTGGAGATAGAGCACAGTTGGTAGAGTGCTTGCCTCATATGCACAAGGCCCTGGGTTCAATCCCCAGCACCACAAAAAAATAAAYAAACAAACAAACAAATAAATAAATAAAAGAAATTCCACAACAGAAGACTATTTACCAAGAATTTCATTAAATAGCAGAGTTAGAGTCAATAAAACCATCCCCCCATTACTCCAAGATGTGAGGTAGACCACTGTGTACTAACTACTGGGCATTCCATTTCAGGATGACACAATTTTTTCTTACTTTTAATTCTAGATTCAAACTTCAAAACATRTAAACTCCAAACAAAAGCTAGGTCTAACAAAGTAACTAAAGAATAGACAAGTCAAGAGATCAAATATAAGAATGCTAGGAATAGTATCTATTTGTGCAAAAACCACTAATAAAAGACAGAAGCATTTCTCTTTGTGAAACTGTCTCCAGAAGCCTTTACACATTTAATGATTATCTCAAGTCCCAGTTTATTTTTTTATTTTTTTAAAGAGAGAGAGAGAGAACTTTCAATATTTATTTTTTAGATTTTGGCGGACACAACATCTTTGTATGTGGTGCTGAGGATTGAACCCGGGCCGCACGCATGCCAGGCAAACGCGCTACTGCTTGAGCCACATCCCCAGCCCCTCAAGTCCCAGTTTAAAAGGGGGCTTGTATGTTATAAAGTATCTCTAATCCATTATGCTGAATTATGTTCAATCCATTCAGCAAATATTTACTGATTATAATCAGATTCTGGCTAGGTGCTCAAGAAAAAAAGTAAAAATAAGGTATAGTCCCTGCTTTCAAAAAGAACTGGTATTCTATTGGGGGGAGGAGCTAAGAAAATCCAGCAATTACAATGCTATTTCATATGGACTATAATTCTAAAGTTTCTCAAAAGACCTGTATCAAAATTTTTTTTAATAGTGCTGGGGAATGAACCTGGGGTCTTGTGCATGYGAGATAAGCACTCTACCAACTGCGCTATATCCCCAGCCCTCTAAAATTTCTCAGTTGGGAGCAATTTTGTGCCCTAAAGGACATCCAGTAATGAATGGAGACATTTTGGTTTGTCACAACTGAATTCTTTCTTGCTACTGACAACTRGCAGGTAGAGGCCTGGGATGCTATTAAACAAATTACAATGAAGAGGACTRTGTCTTTACAACACAAAAGTTACCTGCCCAAAATGTCAACAGTACCTATTCTAGAAAAATGACCTAACCATGCTTAGGTTATGAAAAGCTTTCCAGGAGAAGGCAAAGCAGAAACTGAGTCCTGAAAAACAAACAAGATATCTGTAAACAAAGTGTGAATATGCCAAGTGCAGGAAATAATGGACATCAAATCTCAGGTACCAGAGAAGGAAGAACTTTCTGAGAGCTATAAATTCAATATAACTGAAGCATGGGATAACTATGTTTATGCCGTAAAATACCTCTCCCAATTATAACTTCAATTATAATGTCAAGCATTGTAGCAGTTTCTTGTGCTAGCTAAAGCCAACCAGTCTCCTAACTGTCAAGGCATTAATAACCAGAGATAGGGTTGGGGTTGTGACTCAGTGGTACAGCACTTGCCTAGCATGTGTGAGGCACATAAAAAATAAACAAATAAAATAAAGGTATTGTGTCCATCTATAACAAAAATATTTTTAAAAAATAAGTAACTAAAGAGAAGTAAGAGAAAAAGAGTAACCACTACTCACAGGCCCCTGCCCAAGATCACCCAGTAACTAGTGGCAAAGTTAAGAATAAGACTAAGTACACTTGACATCAACCCCCCAAGTAAACCATCTTTATCATACACTATTATATCATTTGGGGACTAATATATTTTTGGGGGAAATTGAATGAACTCAGGGGTGCTTTACCACTGAAGCACATCCCTAGTCTTTTTATTTTTATTTTGAGACAGGTCTCACTAAGTTACTGAGGTTGGCTTTAAACTTATAATCTTCCTACCTCAGCCTCCCCAGTTGCTGTGATTACAGTGGCGCAGGGTTACAACGCACATTTTTAACCCCCTTCAACAATTATTTACTTAATGCCTATTATACTTTAACAGGCACTAGATACACTGGTAAGGAAAAAAGGCAGGGATACTGCCCTCAATAGTGTATACTCACAGAAATTACACATTGGTTAACTAAAATAATAACTGTAGTCAATGCCATAAAGAAATGGTGTTCTGGAGTTTAGGGCCTCACTAAATTGTTGAGACTGGCTCAAACTCCTGCCGCAGCCTCCCGAGTTGCTAGGAGCTGCTGAGATTACAGGCATTCACCACCACATATGGCTCTATAAGGCTGTCAGCAAAACATGGGATATGTTCTTGGCTATTGTGTCTCTCTCTGCAAGAGAAGCAAGATATGCGGTATAGTAAAAGTATAGCTAAGTTTATTAGAAGACAGAAGAGACTGCATCATCTAGAAGAGATCCTAACAACTCCCTTGTGTCCCAGTTTTTATTGGGATTAAGGGGCAGTGTCCAGAGGGTTCTACCCAAGTAYCACTTCTTAACTCTTGATTGATGGTCAGATTTTAATGGATTTCAAATTCCCATGTTTAAGTGAAACCCACAGGGGTGAAGATTTATAATGACAAYAGAATCAAATAATGTGCCAAAGACTCTAAAAAAAGCACACTTGATCATCTTGGCCCACACAGCCAATTTTATCTGGAACCTGATTTCACAGACCGCGAAGCCACTGAGCTCTCCAGTCTCTGATCAGGGCAAACTATCTTTCTCTTACCAAAGGAGGAATCTTGGGCAAATACGCCTCAGCTCTATCTATGAACAGTATATTGTTATGGGACTATGATCTTTCCCCCCAACCCCTGTACTAGGGATAGAACCCAGGAGTGCTTCTATATCCTTGGCTATTAAGTCAGAGCAGAGCCAGGATGATTTTGTGTAAGTTGTTTCTTTAAAAGCATGTTGAATTCTGCAAACAATAAGAAAATATGAGAAATTCTTAAAAAAAAAAAAAAAAAAAACCCACACATGTTGAAGCTGGGCACGGTGGCACAACACCTGTGATTCTAGAAGCTCAGGAGGCTGAGGCAGGAGAATCAGGAGTTCAAAGCCAGTCTCAGCAAAAGCGAGGCGCTAAGCAATTCAGGAAGATCCTGTCTCTAATAAAAGATAAAAAAGGAGCTGGGGATGTGGCTCAGTAGTTAAGCATCTGAGGGTTCAATCCTCAGTACCAACAAACAAAAAAACATGTTGAGTTGGCATACCAGCTGTCTGTAGAATTGTTTTTTAGTACTGGGCATTGAACCTAGGGTTGCTTTACCACTGAGATACACCCTTATTTCCCCTACCTTTTTATTTTGAGACAATGATTTTGCTTAATTGCCCAGCTCAGTCTGAAATGAAAGAATATGAAAAGAAACATAAAATTTGTGTGATGTACAACAGTAAGGTTAATATTAAATTGGAAAAGAAAGACTTCATATTAGCAATATAAGCATCTACCTTAAGGAACCAGGAAATGGGCAAAACTAACCACCACAAGCAGAAGGAAAGACAAAAAGTCAGTGAAACTGAAAAGGGAAAAACAAGAAAAAAAAAAAAACAAAGAAATAAAATGCTGATTTAATATAATACACAAAGGAAAAACAATTGGAAATGAAAGGGGAATATCAGTACAGATCGTACAGATATTAAAAGATGATATTATAAAGCTGTGAATTTAACAAGGATAAAAAATGGACAAATCCCTTAGAAACTCTTATTGAAATCAACACCAAGAAACAGAAAATATAACTACTGTAACTGTGACAAAAATTGAATCTAAAATTAAAAACCATTCCAAAAGAAAATTCTGGGCCCAGAAAATCCTGGCTTTCCTGGTGAATTCTATGTAATATCTAAGAAAAATTAGCATCAATATTACATGAACTTCTCACCTCACAGCAACAGTATGAGAATTAAATGAAAATTTCTTAAAAGAACTTAGCATATGYCAGGTGTGGTGGCACATGCCTGTAATCCCAACAACTCCAGCGGTGGAGGATCCCAAGTTTGAGGCCAGCCCCAGCAATTCAGCAGGGTCGTAAGCAATTTAGCAAGACCTTATCTCAAAATAAAAAGGGCTGAGGAAATCACTCAGTGGTTAAGCACCCCTAGGTTCAAACCTAATAAAAAAAAAATTTAGCATGTATTCACAATAAGCACTACACCAATAAATTCCAGCCAATAGAATCATATTTTTAAAAAAAGGGCTGGGGATATAACTCAGCTGGTAGAGTGCCTACCTACAAGGCCTTGGGTTCAATTACCAGCAATACACACACACACACAAAAAAAAAGACAATGAAACACTTTGGGGG